ATCGTTCTCATATACGTCTCATAACCGCAGTTCACACATATGTTTCATATGTTTGTTGTTGTTTGATTTATCATCTACGGGTTTATATCGAATTAATTTGATGGCCTGCTCCCAGTTGGCTTGTTAGCTCAATTGGTAGAGCGCTGCACTAGTATCGCAGAGGTCAGTGGTTCGAATCCCGTACAGGCCTGAAATTTTTTTCAGGTCTGATTTTCACTATTGCTCAAATAGTGCTTTACTGCGAAGAATCGTTCTCATATACGTCTCATAACCGCAGTTCACACATATGTTTCATATGTTTGTTGTTGTTTGATTTATCATCTACGGGTTTATATCGAATTAATTTGATGGCCTGCTCCCAGTTGGCTTGTTAGCTCAATTGGTAGAGCGCTGCACTAGTATCGCAGAGGTCAGTGGTTCGAATCCCGTACAGGCCTGAAATTTTTTTCAGGTCTGATTTTCACTATTGCTCAAATAGTGCTTTACTGCGAAGAATCGTTCTCATATACGTCTCATAACCGCAGTTCACACATATGTTTCATATGTTTGTTGTTGTTTGATTTATCATCTACGGGTTTATATCGAATTAATTTGATGGCCTGCTCCCAGTTGGCTTGTTAGCTCAATTGGTAGAGCGCTGCACTAGTATCGCAGAGGTCAGTGGTTCGAATCCCGTACAGGCCTGAAATTTTTTTCAGGTCTGATTTTCACTATTGCTCAAATAGTGCTTTACTGCGAAGAATCGTTCTCATATAAGCCTGTTTATTGTTAGCCAATTAGCCATAGGGTGTTTTCGTGACAAAACATGCAATACCACATTCTTTATTTATAACTGGGCAATGCAAGAATGTGTATAGCAGCTGAAAGATCATGACAGTAAAAATAGTTATGTTTTACTTTTTTCCTGTGATATACAACTGGCTTTTTCAGATTATGACTATTTATAGAATTTAAAAAGACCCTTCCTTTTTCCTTTAGTGTTGATAATAGATTTACATGTTTTGAGTTTTTCCCACAGTGACTACAGTTATTTCTCTGTTGTATGAAAAATCTTCTCCTTGGTCCTTCAGAGTCAACAAGAACTGAAGGAGCTTGTACATCATCCATTGTTTGGTATTATCTTTGAACTAGAATATGTTCTGTCTGAACCATTTGCTCAGCCACTTACTGAGACCAGACATGAAAAGGTTTTTGAATAGATACTTGGCTTTTCTGTTCAGTGAACATTATGTATATTTTGGTGAATTTTTCAAGTTTAACTTTACCTAGGTTTCTGTTTACTCTGATTTGTTCTTGAACACTTGGTCATAAATTAATGGATTTTTTTTGCTTCTACATTTACATTTATGTTCAGTTGGTAAAATCATATAGATATTGCACCAACTATTTACAGCTAAAAATAATGTCTACGACTATTACACTGTCTATATGAAAGTAAAGTGAAGAAATAGATCTAATTATTGTTATTAAGTAAATTATTTAAAGGCTCAGATTTAAAATGTTGAAAGGTGTCGGAGTTGACAATGTCCTCAGGTAAGCTATTTCAACTTCTTATAGTTCTGCGAAAAAAGAATAAAAGTAAATGTTCTGAGTGGCTTTCATTTGAATGTATCTAAAATTGTGGCTCAAACGTGTTATAAGTTTGTTATGAGAGCACAGGTAAACATTAGTGTCCATATCAATTTTCCCTCAACTCATCTCATATAGAAGAATTAATGGACACATTGTACTTCTCAAATCTAAGTTGGTCCATCCAAGCTCATGAAGCATTTCAGTAATGCTTGCTGTAGGGTGATAGTTATTGCTACAAAATTAAACAGCTTTGTTTCATTTTTTTTGTTGCTGGTATTTTGTTTGTGTGTTTTCTCTTTTTTGTAGTACCTTTTTTTACTGAGGTTGTTTAGTCAACCATTGAAACCAGCTACATGTAAGATTTGATCATTACCATTCCAAGGGCTGGTTACTGAAATAGAATTGAGCATTTTGTTAGTGAAATGTGCATTCTTAGCTATCATCAATTTAGTCAAATATTTCATCCAAATGTTGATAACTGTAGGCATATGGCTGACACTGGAGAATAATTTATTTACATCCGGAAACCCAGTTGCAAAGAAATATCAGGGTCAAGTGATTTTCTAAAACCAGGACCTACATTTAGGTTAGACTGTTTAAAACTGCCTGGACTATTTTTTTTGTTTACTCTTTGGTCAATCTTGGAATAATAATACATGGTGTGTAGTACCCTTGAAAATTTTTACAAGTTTGCCATATTTTTACAAGCTGGCAGGGCAAGTCAAATACAAACAAGTTAAAATACTCAGCTACAAGTATGCTATACACTAAAACAACTACTGAAAATAGGCTGTTTATCGTCCAACTGCTCCATTTTGTGTGTATTGTTGTACATCGCTTAAGTGACCAGTAAATAGAGATGAAAATTATAGTGATTAAGGGAAAACAAATTTGGGACCTCGACAGCCGACGGCCTAACACATGGTGACAACTTAATATGGTGCCCCTTAATGTAGGTGAATCAGTGAACTGTCAAGACAACCTTTAAAAAAATACATGGCTAGCTTCATGCCATGGACTGAAAACCCATCTAGGATAAATAAAAATTACTCCTAGATGCTAAATGCTACAGAAACAAAGAAAGTCCAAATGTTTGAAGGCAAGTTAACTTATGAGTAACCTCTAATATACCGTATCGGCATTTTGTCTGTATTCCAGGCACCCGAGTCTGATGTGTTTAAGCATGCAGCATGTGATATGTTGTTTAATATTGTTGTGATCAATTACAAACCTTTCACAGAGAAGACGTTTGATTAGGTTGCACTCACTTAAAAGTTAAACTTGGTTAGATATTCAAATTCGAGGAAATGAACGATCGTTCAAATATTTACATAGTCATGGCTCAGTGATTAAACTTAAAAACGACTCGCATAAAAAATAATTAGAACTCGAGGGAACTACAGCAATGTAGAGTTCGTCGAAGCGAATATGAATTTCCCTCGAAATTTCTAGTTCTAGTCGAGAATTTTAAACTTTTCAATTATTTTTTTACCGATGGACTGCTTGCTCCTGTGTTATTCCATCTACGGTCTATCAACATAACACGGTTATCACGGAAAACCTTCAAACCCTTCGTCTTACATTCCCATCCAAACAACATGTCTTCCAGCCTTTTTAGCTCTGGCCGATAGAAAATATTCTTTGCTTGTAATACTCTAAGATTGAGGAAAACTGCATCTTGTGGAGGTTTGAACGAGAAGGGCTCATGTGGCCTATAAAATGGGTGCCATCTCCTTGGACCCATAGCTGCGATAGGATGTTCAGTGCTGTCAGCTTCCTTGACAACGTTTTCGATTCGCTCGAACACTAGTCCAAACTGTCTTCTGTATTTAGTGCTCTGGTTTATAACCCCATCTGGATCATATTCATAAAAACATTCAACACTGTCATCCATCATCCAGATAAAATCTAATTCCAAGCGCAGTGCGATTTTTTGAATCCAGTATCGGGGATAACCTGCTCCAATTTCATCCTGTGGGAGTCTGATAACAATGTTTTCGTGTCCACAATGCCTCACATACTCATCAAACTCTGAAGGCCTCACTACAAGAACAGTGATGGTAGATTCTTTATTCAGGAGGGCATCTTCTGGCCAATCCAACAATGCAATCTGCGCTCTACGGAAACTTGGAACAAATATCCATCTTTTTCCCTTGAAGTTGTTAAATCTTATCTTTTGAATCCACCTCGTTTGCCCACAAGTCTCCGTGTCAAACCATTGCATGAAATCAGGGACGTGGATTTTTAACGTATGTTCACAATTAAAGTAAAAAAGGTTCGACTCGTTCACTGAGTTTGAGGACAGTGACTGCGCTTTGAACTTTTGAGGAGAGGATTTTACAATTTCATCTTTTGAAAGCTGATCGCTTTTAATATTGTCATGTATCTCACGTATATGTGGCGATAGAGGTGAATTCAAAGGCTTCCGGCTTTCTAAAACATTGGTGACCACTTGTGTAAGTTCTTCTCTACAACTGTTAATGGTTCCTTTCATCTCGCTTTCTATAAACTTGGGCAGGTTATCATAGATTTTAGTCAGATCCACTTTTTTACTTGGGGTGGTCCATTCGTCTGATGTGGGATATGATGCTGAATTGGAAACCGTTGCTTTCATTTTGAGAACGATATTTGGTGTTTCTGCTTCCCAAGGGTGGTTCGATAGCCATTTGCCATCTAGATTCTCATCCGCTATTGTAAGACTTGCGACTTCTTGCGAAACCGCTTCATCTAAGCGTGAATCGCTCGTTTGATAATCTTGTCCATGAGGTTCACTTTTACTACTGCTGCTCTCACTCTCTTTATTGCTTGACGTTGATTCTCTCCATTCTTGTTCCGCCATATTTTCAAAAGTTAGAATATATATGTGTTTGTATATATATATAAATGGTCTCTTGGGAAGTGAATCGCGGTGTTTCGACTGCTTACTGCTAGACTTCTTCAGGCAACAAGGTTGACTGAGTACGTGTCACTTGTATGCTGATGCGCTCAACTTTGATTGGATAGAATTCCGCGGCTGTGACTGATGCGTCTTTCGGATAAATTACCGCTGTGGCTCGTTGCTGCACGGCTCTCCTGCT